AAGTTCTTGTTTGATACAGCGGACTTTTGCAAAAACACTGCATTTTTAGAAACAATAAAAAGCATTCGCTTCGTTGAACCCTACGTTGTTCATCAGGTTTATGATGAAATATGTCCGCAGTTTGAATGTGAGAATTTGATAAAATTTTGCGATTCTGTTCCTCAATCTCTTTCGACAATTGTATGGACAAATACCCCTGTTCTTCTACGGTATGTACATCCCAGTTGGATCGGTTTAGGAATCCTTCGCAAACCACCATTACGCAAAGTTCTGTCTCATACCCATAATGTGTGTGATTCCATCAACAAAAAATTACAGGACAAGGAAAGGAAAACAGAAAGTCAATGTGCTTGTATTTCTGATTCAGTCATCAACGGTTTGATGACAAAGATTTATGAATATCTACAAGAACATTGCCTTGGTAATCCTGAAACCAAACGTATGCTTTCAGAAACACCACTCGTACACATAAAGGACGAGGAAATATATGTCAACGCGAAACAAGTATCTATTGCGTTTGACGGAAAGAAACCGATACCGCCATATTTGGTAGAGATTCCGCTCCAATACGGACGATTCAAAGAACTATTTCAATATATTGGAACAACCGATTCGGTTAATTTGAGTCAATACTCAGAAGTGCTGCTTCGAATTCAAGCCGAAGTCAAATTAAACATGCTTGGACCTGATCACATACGGGACGTGTTGACTGCGTTGAGAAGTATCATGACGTTGCTAGAAGAGAAGAGCTTAGCCGATATTGAAAAATCCATGGAGGAAGTTGATACCCTTTTTTTACCTACCTCTGAAAAACGTTTGGCAAAATCAACTGACCTTGTGTTTGTTGATAAACCAAAGCTTAGATCACAGGTTATGCAAAACGCCAATCATGGTATACTGTTTATGCACAGTTTGAAGGATTGTCACACACAAGAAAATCTCATCTTAAAATTACCAGAGAACTTTAAACCAAGAGTGTTAAGTTCAATCGTACAGGAATGCCTTTTATCTTCTTCGAATAATACCAAACAGGATACGAAAGTTGAACAATTAGGAGCATTTTTAGCGTCTTCAAGATTTTTGAACGTTATAAAAAAAATAGGAAATTTCAGTGACGAAGATTTTGAAATCTACCGTCAACGGTTGCTGAAAATACAGCTAGTTTCCCTCTCTGAGATCACAACCTTCCTTATGATGGATGATAGACAGATTCCAGACACAGAAGCTCTGCAGAAATGTTTTTACTCGGTCGAGAAAAGCGAACCAAAACTATATTTTGTAGCTGACGACCAAGGAGTAAGGCTGTGGCTGCAAGACGTTGGACAAACACTTTTTGGAACTCTCTCAGATTGTGTAGATAACAAAATCGCACCAGAAAAAATTCGTGAACTGGTTGATTATATGGATTATCCAGAAAGATTCAAAAAGTACTGCCATGAACTTTTAGATGAGGAAGAAAACGAAGAGGATGAGTTCTTAGCGTACTTTCCAGGAAAACTAGTGCCCCTTGATCTGCACGAGTTACTAGAGAATGAAATCACTCTGCTAAAAGTTGGGGATTTAGTCGCCTATGAGAAGTTTGATCCATTAATTGATGGTGACGAAACCGATACCAGTACTGGAGCTGTATTTATTTTTTCGAGAATAATAAAAATATTACCAGCAGCTAGTCCAAACGACTGGCTTCAGAAATACGAAGTCAATTTCGGTCAAGGCATCACCGACACAGTAGTGGGAATTCGATTATACAAGGTAAAATATCCGGAAACATCAACAACTACGGAGTTAGTACTCCATCAATTTGGACACGACGGCTCTACACCTCTTAATAGAGACAGCATTTTTGACGAAATTATTGATACGTTGTCAGAGGCATGGAAACTGGATGATGCAGATCGCAAACGGATCATGAAGAGATTGTTGCTGTTATGGCATCCTGACAATAACTTCGGTAAGGGTAGCACCCATCAGAAGTTTTGTAAGGATGTTACACAATTCATCTTAGATGTAATGCAACGCCTTAACGAAGGAGAACAGTTTGGTACTTCTAGATTCAGCTCAACGGACGGGCGCAAGAACAGGCAGAAGGAGAAGCGAGACTACAGTGACTGGAGATACGGGAAATGCTCGGAGAAATTGCAGGCATTCGGAGACAGGGTGTCATCAATACACAGAGAAAACCATAGACACTTCACCGAGTCGTATGCAGTAAAAAGACACTATGTTCCAAACCCTCAACCTGCAGAGGCAAAGAGGTGGTTCAGGCAAGCTGAAATGGATTTCAAATGTGGAGTAAATTCATTAAAACTGAACAACACAACAGAATGTGGTTGTCAAAGCATGGAGGACTACAACTGGATTTGCTTCAAATTCCACCAAGTAAGATGATTTTACTTGAATCTATGTAGCTTAATGTAATGTGTTTTTTCCTGAGAGTTTGTAGAAATTGTAACCTTGTTCATAATATTTAAAGCTGACAATGCAAGTTTAAAAGCTTTCAGTGGAGATAAAAAAAGAATACCCAGCGAAACCCATACTCGTTTCCAAGCAAGTACATTCTAAAATGTGGGCGCTTCCTTAGATACGACAGCCGGAAGAGATTGTAACTGGGGAAGATCTCAAAACCAGAAAAAGAAACTTTCTTTTTAAAAACAAATCTACATTGAAAGCTTTTTAACCTGTACTGTCAGCTTTAAGTGTATATATTTTTTCAAAGATAAAAATAATTGCAGTTTCGAGGTCAATGTATACTTTTTTCTTCAACCGACCCTTTATCGATGTAACCAACTTTTACAAAAACGAGATATATGCATAAATACATGATTACATGATGAGACAAACATATTAAAGGGAAAATCTACCTCGTCAAGCATATATACTTAAGTTATTCCTATATAGAAATAAAAGGTGGTAGATTAAATTCTTTATTTATATGTAATTTCACGTAGTTATTTTCCTAAGTATTCTAACAAATTAAAACTTGTTTCCTTCTTTTAGGCTTGTGAGAAAGCCTGCAAAGCGTATATGTACTGTATCGATGAGAGGAAAGTGACTCATTCTCACAACTTACGCAGTATCATCTCGTCGGTGGCCGGAAACGAGCAGCTCGCAGTCTGGATACAAGACGTAGAAACTCTTGTTGGAAGTTACTCCAGAATGCGTTACCCAGATGTGATGGATTATCCTAAAATACCAGGAACATCGTACACAGAGGAACAGGCAACCACATTGAAAGGCTTAACAGCGAAAATAATGGAGGAGATAGCAAATAAATTGTAACTTCCTGAACACTCCAATATTTCTTCACTGCAACACTGTTTCTACGATACAACACTGTCAAATCGTCATTAAAAACTATTATAAAATAGTTAATCCTTTTATCATAAGTGCATAGTTAACAATTATTTTGCAACCAAAATGACGTTAAAAAGTAATGACAACGCTAGATTTCGATTTTGAAAAAGTCATGTAAGCTTTTTCAATTTTCACTTCATTTTGATGTTATTAAGTGATGATCTAAAAGACGCAATGTTGGCATATTTCATTTTTTCAATGCGTTGGATGTTATGAAAGGGTCCATTGATTTAAGCATAAATGATCCCAGTGTAGTTGGAACTATATTGTACGTACGTTGTGTTTTTGTATTTATTAAGACATACTATACTAACAATATCGTTTTATTCTGTGTTTTACTCAGTAGAATCGTTATCTTAATGTTTGCTTAATAATATTGTGTAGACTTTCCTTTATGCGCTAGAATGACGTATACATGTCGGCAAGTGGTTTATAAAAACACATGAATGTGTTAATTTGTTATGTTATGCAATGTACATAGTTGATATATTTCAAAACGATAGAACAACTAACTATTTTGCACGTTTTTTGTTGTAATAAATTTGAGGTTTACTTGCAATCTTTAAGCAACAAAAGAAATAATATGAATATATATCTGTACATTTTATAATGTTTTGTAATATATCGCTATTTAGACTCCATATATTCATATTATATATAAGTAGTAATAGCTAAAAATTCCGCTTATTTTTGCGAACAGTTATGAATGTCAAGTCTTAGTCATGTCTCCCATTCGTTGAAAAACTCACAATAACAATATTTAAGTACAGTTTTCATTATCATTATTAAAGAAATCATTGGAAATCTAACTTCGTATCTTAGTAAGAGGAAAATATATACCAAAACACACCAGACTCGAGGTGTAACCATAGAGGTATGTGTATCACTATGGTTATTGTTATTGTGTTTAAGATGTAGTTAAGTCGGTTTATAGAAACTATATGTTACAAATGACATCGATGTATTGGAAGTATTTAGAAAAGGGATCGATTGTTATAAAGTATACTGCACTATTTTGTATATATTTTATCATATATTCCATTTTATTGTATTAAAAACTAAGTTTTGACAGTCTTGATATGTAAATACTATCTTATTATATTAAATATGTATTTTTTGTTTGAAGGTTTTGATATGCTTGATTTGCATATACTAGGTATCAATATTTAATATGTAATTTTTGTTTAAATGTTTTGATAGACTTGATTTGCATATAGTAGCTATCTATATTAAATATGTAATTTTTGTTTGAAGGTTTTGATAGACTTGGTTTGTATATATTAGCTATCTATATTTAATATTTTATTTTTGTTAGAATGTTTTGACTGTCTTGATTTGTTTAAAAGATTTTATTATATTTAAAATGTAATATTTGTTTGAATATTTTGACAGAATTGACTTGTTAATACTATTATATTAAATTATGTATTTTTTGTTTAAAGGTTTCGATACAATTGATCTGTATATTTGTTTTATATATTTAATGTTATTTTTGTTTGAATGTTTTACCAGACTTGATTTGTTTAAATTAATTAATTATATTCAATATGTAATATTTGTTTGCATGTTTTGATTTGTATATACCTTTTTGATATATAATTTTATAATCTTTTTCGAATGTTTTGACGGACTTGATTTGTATATACTATTTTATAATATTTTTTAATACTTGTTTTAATTTGTTGGTGTAATTTATTTCTATATTCTATTTAATCATATTATGTGATATATGTTTGAACGTTTTGACAGAATTGATTTGTATATACTATTTCATTATATTAAATATGTAATGTTTGTTTAAATGTCTTGACAAACATGATATGCATAAATTATTTTATTATATTGAAAATGTAATTTTTGTTTGAATGTTTTGACAGACATAATTTGTTTATATTATTTTATTATATTTCAATATGTAATTTTTGTTTGAATTTTTTATAGACTTGGTTTGTATATATATTACTTTAATGATGAGAATGACGTTACTTTAGTATTATAAAATATCATCGTTATCAGAAAACATAAGTAACTTGTTACCAAAACTATCATTTAAAACTTAGATGCACTAGGTCTGTTTAAAATATAGATGATATAAATGCTGTTTATATTTTATATGAAATTATTTTCGATGAAATGTCTATAAACAGAGTAGAAATTTGAGCAAAACACACGTTTCCATATTTTATTCTTGTACATTTGTATGAATTTGATTTATAGAAAATATGTTTATGTAAGACAGGATATTGACTAAGCTTGTTTAAAATCGTTGGTCAGGGGGGTTATCGAGAAATCTGAAGTAACCTTATATCTGTTATTATATATATATTTGTGTGTACGTTGTATAAAACTATTTGGGTGTTAAAATGACATTGATTTCGTTTTGAAGTCAAAGTCATTAAAATGATATCGATGGATGTTTTGAATTTCATAATTAACATACATTATACTAATTACTATTATATGAAACGTTTCTTTGAATGCCTTGATAGATATGGTTCATCAAAACTATATAGATGTTAGAAATGACTGATTAAATTTTAGAGCCATAGTTATTATAACAATCGATTGATGTGTTAAATGTTTTAATTAACACACAGTTGTATACTTTAATAAATCAAATCTGTAATGTTTGTTTGAATGCTTTGGTAGATTTGGTTTATATAAACTGAATGGATATTAGAAATGACTTTGATTTAGTTTGTTTAAAACAGCTAAAGTCATTTATATACCATTCAGCTATACTTTGAACTTTACAGTGAATACACTAAATCAGTAGTTTCCATTTTCAAGTTGTGATGGACATTGTTATAAGAAACTAAGTGGATGTTAGAAATGACATTCATGTAGTTTTGAAATCAAGGTATATAAACCAATCGATTGATGTTTTGAAATTGACAATTAACATACATTTCAAACTATTAGTATCATACGTTTGTTTGATTGCCTGATAGACATGGTTTACATGTATGTAAACAAAATGGATGTTAGAAAAAACATTGAATCAATTCAAGAATATATAATCAGCATACATACGGTTTATTGTGTCATTAGGTAATGTTTTTAAGTTGTAACAAATTTGTGTAAAGAAAAAGAAACTATTTGGATGTTAGAAATGACATTGATTAAGATCAATAACCAAAATTACGAAAACACTCTAGTAATGTTTTCAATTTGATAATTTACTTTTTTTAAATGTTATTATTGTTTTATATCTGTAATGTTAGCTTTTAAATTGTTACAGAATTAAACGAAACTATTTGGATGTTAGAAATAACATTGATTTAGTTCAAGAACAAAAGCCGCTGAAAGACAATCGAGTAATGTATTAAATTATAGATAACATTTGTTTCAATATATCATTATTTTAAATCTGTTTTATTTGCTCTCAAGTTGTTATTGACTTGGTTGATAGTCACTTAAAGTATGTTAGTAATAACATTGATTTAAGTTAAAAAAAAGGCGTCGAAACAAAAACCGAATAATGTATTCGATTTCATAATAAACATTTGTTTCAATATCTATTATTATTTTAATTCTGTCAAATTTGTTTTCAAATTGTTATTGAATTGGTTGATAAAAACTAAAAGGATGTTAGAAATAACATTGATTTAGTTAAAGCACCAAAGTCGTTGAAACAAAATCGATTAATAATTTGATTTTCATAATTAACGTTTATTTTAATACATAATTATATGACATCTTAAATATGTCTTTATAACTTGTTATTGACTTGGTTGATAGAAACTAAAATAATAGTAGAAGTAACATTGATTTAGTTAAAGAACCAAAATCGTTGAAAAAAAATCGATTCATGTATTCAATTTCATGATTAACATCTGTTTCAATATATTATTTATTTTAAATAAGTTTTATTTGCTTTTAAGTTGTAGTTAACTTGGTTGATAACGAAACTAAAATGATGTTAGAAATAACATTGATTTAGTTAAAGAACCAAAATCGTTGAAACAAAATCGATTAATGTATTCAATTTCATAATTAGCATTTGTTTCAATGTTCTATTATATAAAATCTGTAATATGTTATTTTTAATGGTTGATAGAAACTAAAAGGAAGTTAGAAATAACATTGATTTAGTTAAAGAATCAATGTCGTTGAAACAAAATCGATTATTGTAATCAATTTCATATTAAACATTTGATTCAGTATCTATTTTTATTTTAAATCTGTCACATTTGTTTTTTAAGTTGTTATTAAATTGGTTGATAGAAACTAACAGGACTTGATTTAGTTCAAGAACCAAAGATGTATAACATAATGGATACATGTTTTCAATTTCATAATTTACATTTGTTTCAATATATTATTTCACAGAATCTGTCATATTAACTTTAAGGTGTAATATACATGGTTGAAAAAAACTAAAAGGATGTTAGAAATAACATTGATTTAGTTAAAGAACCAAAGTCGTTGAAACAAAATCGATTAATGTATTAATCAATTTCATAATTAATATTTGTTTCAATGTACTACTATCTAAAATCTGTAATAAATGCTTCTAAGTTGTTACAGATTTGGTTGATTAAAATAAATAGATAGTAGAAATAATATCTTTTTAGTTTAAGAACCAAAGTCATATAATCAGAATCGATTAATGTATTGAATTTAATAATTAACATTGTTTTTCAATATAGTATTAGATACAATCTGTCATATTAGCTTTTAAGTTGTAACATACTTTGTTGATAGAAACTAAAAGGATGTTAGAAATAACATTGATTAAGTTCAAGAATCAAAGTTGTTTACACAATCAAATTATGTATTTAATTTTATAATTAGTATACAGTTCGGAATATTACACCTTATTTAATCAGTATTGTTTGTTTAAATACTTTGAAAGATTTGGTTTATATAAGCTACATTGATAGTTAAAATGACATTGCATTAGTTTGTGTAAAACCAATAGACATATAAACAAACGAGGAATCAATAAAAAAAAACTTGTCACTCTCAGTCCCAATATTTCGATATTTCCCTCAACTTCCGACGAAGCAAGATGAGGGTAAACTAAAATCCTTGTTAACTTTTTCTGTTGGTGAACGCCAGGAGGCCGAAGTTTTGGGACTGAAAGTGACAACTGTTTCATTGTAATTCATGATCCACTATGGAAATCAATGTTCCAACGTGTAATGTTTCGAACATTTCTACGTTATTTTTGTTTATATCGGTATTTTTTTAAAGTTGTAATAGACTTGGCTGATGGAAATTGTTTTGATGTTAGAAATGACAGTGACTTAGTTTATTATAGCCTTAGCCGTAAAACAACTACGAAAAGTTTGTTACAATTAACACATATTACTGTGTGTTTTGTACAATTAACACATATTACTGTGTGTTTTGTACAATTAACACATATTACTGTGTGTTTTGTACAATTAACACATATTACTGTGTGTTTTGTACAATTAACACATATTACTGTGTGTTTTGTACAATTAACACATATTACTGTGTGTTTTGTACAATTAACACATATTACTGTGTGTTTTGTACAATTAACACATATTACTGTGTGTTTTGTACAATTAACACATATTACTGTGTGTTTTGTACAATTAACACATANTTTTGAAAAAAGAAATATAGATTTATGAAAATTGATATCCAAAGGAATACCTTCGAATTTGCACGATTAACATGAAAGTATCATTAAGTAAAAATTGTATTAATTGAAATACTTATTTTCATTGCATGACCATTTCTAAGGCCATTTTCCCATATGTATCCCGTTTTGGGTGCACTGATGTTAGTTTTGGAACTAATTTGCTTGTAATATACAAAATTGTCAGTTTTATAAACATATTTGTAAAAGAACAAAATTGGTATTAGCAAAAGAAGATATGAAAAAACGATTAATTTTCAATCGAATGTGATTAGCAATAAAGCTTTGTTTTATTAAAATTCTGAATTCTGTAATGCATCTTTCTTATTTTTTCTACATTTAATCACGGATAAAAGGAAAATTGTTGAAGTAAATATCAAATTGGCAGATCACAGGACTGCAGGATAGAAACGTCCCCAAAGCCTCGCCAACCATGCACGAGAGAATCACCAAAACATCAAATATATAAGGTTTCGCGTAGATTGATGTTCATCTGGTAGAAAACTGTGGCCACCATGTAGTTTGTTGTCCAACAGGATGCGTCTATCCTGACAGGCTTGATACCAAAAACAGCGAATTAATTGTGCTATGTAACTTCCATTAGTTACTACCGAGGAAAGGAGACTTAACAATTATGAACTTAAAGTCGTTACACGCGGATAGAAGTCTTGATGTGTGTCGTAGAGGTTGGTGGTGACGTGGCCATTATTGTCACATTGAAAATAAATGTGAGGTTGTGGAGCTAGTTAAGAGGAGGGGGATCCAAAAATAATGTGAAAAAAATGAATATTAGGATGGTTCGCAGCTTGTAAAAATAATTAAAAGATAAGTTTGGAATTTAAACTTTCACATAAATGGTTATAAAACCTCAACGCCGTTCATTTTGGCCGTCACGTAGGAACGGATGAGATAAAAGGAGAAAAGAACAGATGCGGATGAAGTTAAGATAAAACAGGCGACTGTTTCAGAAGGCTATTATTATTCAAGTTGGTTTCTTTGTCTATTGAGAACGAACCTTGCTTCTCTGTATTGAACCAATTCTATTTGGTGCATGTCAGAATGTAGAGGCTAGTCCCGCACGGCTTATAGTGAAACTTGTTTCACAAAAGGGAGGTGCATATTAGCATAAATCTTTTCTAGCTACAGTTGTGGGACCGAACAACGCACCAAAAATAGCGTGCACACACCGTGCATACATCGTTCACACACCGTCCGCACATCGTCCACACATGGTGCGCACAACTGTGCGATTAAGCAATCGTTCGCCCCGTTGTGCGCTTCTCTCGCACAACTGGGCGATTTGGTATCATTTGTAGATCAAAATTACGGAATGGCAAAAATACGGAAGGCTTGTATGCGATAATGTACACTGTGTATATATCTGTAATTTCTCATCACAATAATTAAGATTATACAATTTCACAATGCGTGTAACACAGTATTACAGCGACCGTTAGGCTGTCAAGAATGGGTTTGGCTCGAAGGTAACAGAACAGGTAAATAACAATTTGATAAGTGTCCGGAGTTTTACCTGACCAGTGCCTGACACACAGAGCTGATATGCGATACCGTTTGACCGTAATGAAAATAATTTGTTATTTGCATTCGTTTGCCTATAGCTCCTCTTTACCTGGGTTTTCACACACCCGGCCTCACCCGACGAGTTACATAAATGCCCCAGGCGGGGAGAAAACTACGGTCCAGGTACATGTACAAACTGGTTATGTTTACCTGTATACGGGATTGTGCTGTAATTTAACATGTGTCGATTCAGTTTGTTTAAAAACACAGTAAACACAATTTCTAAATATAAGAATGTATAGACAGAAAGATAAGTTTATAGATGGTGCTAGAATATAGAAACATACGTAAACATAAAGTTGATATGTTTAAACACGAAACCGTATACATTGTTAAGGCATTCCTCAATTTACACCAACCACGATTGGTATCGCACAACGTCCGTCCATCGTGCGCACAGATGTGCGCAAGCAATGATCGTCCAGCTTTTTATCGTTCGCCCATCGTGCACACACCGTTCACACACCGTGCACACATCGTGCGCACACCGCACATCGTGTAACGTTGTGCGATCCCACAACTGTACAACAAAAATATACAGGTAAATGAAGATTGCAAAACAAACATGGTGCTTACATTACATTTTAACGAAACTTTTGGAAAGCAGAATCTGTATGGAACTATGTACATTAAACTTTAGGACTCAAACATTATTAAAAATTAGAAAAGTTTACCAGTTTATGACTTATTGATAAAAAAAAGTGAACAACTTTGTTACCTTCCCACCGGTAACGCTAATTGAGCATTACTTTATAATTTTATTTGAGAACGGGTCATGTATTTACACGTACTTAGTGCTGAAATATACTCAAATTTCCCCGACCCGGTCACTCCCAAACCCGCTACATGTATTTTGAAACAGATTTCCATGCCTCTGGTATCGGTTCATTGGCATACCCCTCCCTAGGGACTTACTCCGTACATCATAACATGGAAACGGTTTAAATACTCACCCTTGAACCACACATACACGAATTCTCAATTGTCTGACAAATAAAAACAAAACTACAGATACACACCCTCGACATTTGTAACTTTAATATGGCAAAGAAAACAGGAAATTCAACTATATCATAGTTTGCAAGATGAATATTTTCCCGATGAGAGTAGAATGCAGTTTTTCTAAAGTAAGGTGACGAGTAAGAGCGGGAAATCGCGGAATGGATTTTTTCGTGTCACATGTAAAAATGCTTCCTCAAAGAATATTTCATAGCATGTTAATACGTTCGTGGGTGCATATTTTGGGATGGCGTAGCAAATACATAATATCGCGAATTTCAATGCTACCGAAAATCGGTTTGAATAACACAACGAAAAATATGTTCGTGAAAACGGCCTGATGGAAAACACTTTGTATTCAATTTAACGCGCGCAATCAATCATGGCCTTGATTCCTTCACCTCTCAAGGTCGTCTCGAAGGCCTTGATTGAATCCTCCAATGAAAATCTGTGTGTTATGAGAGGCTTGACGTCAACCTTTCCGGAGGCTACCATTTCCAAAGCTGTCGGATAGCTGGAAAAACGCAAAAGAAAACAACTGCAATATTATGTTTATGAGTTCAATAACGCGAGCAACAGTTGATTTAAATTAGCATGTGACAGATAATTACCGGGTCGTTGCTTAGGATGTTTACAGTTTGCGAGTTTGTTGACAGTTGTCTCCGAATAAAATTTATTTGGATCTGATCTGCATTACTTTGAAATATATTATTATAAGTTTTCTCTGTTTAGAACATATGTTCACTGTACTTAATCTTTTTGAGGAATCGGGAGATTTCTCAGTGTTATTTATTATACTTTTAGCGCAGCTGGATACAATATATCATTTCCCCAACAAAAACCAAGCAAAGAAACAAACTACTGCTAGTGTCGTTTAAACATAAAAAATATCAAACATTTTTACCAATTGCAGTATCGAAGGTTTCCTCGGATGTCCACCTCCCGAAGGGAAGCAGCCATTACTGGCAAGTCGATGACCTTTTGACAGCATCCTACCAATACCACGCAGCCTCCAGGCTCAGTCACCTTTGTTACAAATAAATCGTACCACATCATTTCAGAAAACACAGATATTTGATTAATACTTAAGGAATTTCTCATAAATCATTAGATACGCTGACTATTCTATCGGTAATTTAGATAAAAGAACACATTTCCCTTCCCCTAAAATGCAATCCAAGGGTAGATAATTCTGCAAACGGATACCGGAAGCTGTGTATGGAGTAATCTTGCGATGTATTACAATATAAATGAATATGAAGTTTGGTATACGTCTGTATAGTATCCAAGGATACATAATTATGTTTACGTACATATGTAACTGTCTGTAAGGGGAGATAACTATGTATGTATACATATGTTCTGTCTGTAAAATAAACTTAGGTGAGCTAACTATATATATATAATATATGTATACGTACATATGCAACTGTCTGTAAGGGGAGATAACTATATTTTTATACGTATGTTTAGTCTGTAAATTAAGTAATCTAAGGGGAGATAACTATGTATCCGTACATATGCAACTGTCTGTAAGGGGAGATAACTATGACTTAAGTAATTCAAGGGGAGATAACTATATGCACGTACGTATATAGCTGTCTGTACACAGGGGGTGGCCCCGCTGCACTCAATGCTGATCTCAGCCTTGTCTCCCATTATATCCTCCACCTGCTTAGCAACTACCTAGGGGTCACGACTCGTCACCTTAACGGTGTGTGTAGCACCTAACGTTTTAGCGATCTCCAACCGAGAGTCATCAATATCTGCAAGTAAAGATGGAAGCGAAGCAAGATTTTTAACAAAAAGGCACTAAAATCAGATCTTATCTTTACTTAAGACGATTAAACTAAAACATAGTTAATAATTTCCCTTAATTTTGAATTTAGTTTTTATTATTTTACTTCGAAAATAACTCATCCACGAAAGTAATCTGACGCAAAATTCAGACAAGAATAAAAATTTGCATTCCTTGACATTTCACATGTAACTTTACTTCTAATTCATTTCATTATTGATAAGAATTGTCCTATATTTCATCAGGGAGGTTGTCGGAAAGCTTCAACAAACAAAACAAAACTAATACGGAAGGGAATTCAGTGATTACAACAATTGTAAAAGTAATGATGATGACAATTATATGAGTAATCTCCCCTTACCTGTTATGCACACGACTGACGCCCCCATAGCCTTGGACGTCAGGAGGGTAACCAATCCAATTTGACCTAGATCATATTCAACACGGAGGTTAGCAAGATAAGCAAAACCTATCCTATATAGAGATAAGGAAGACAACCCAATTTATTCTCGAATCAAGCGCATTATCTGGCGCATAGAAAATCAACTCGGATGTATAATGATCATAAATTCACCACGCCAAACGTCACTTTATGAGGTAAAATGGAGGTAAAGAGTGTGTATGATGTGTAGCAACAGGGAAGAGATAATACATTACCAATGTTAACGGCAGTAAAAACAATGCCACAGACCTATTTTACCATTTAAGGCGTTCAAATTTGCGATTTTGATGCTATTTTGACACTAAATAATTATGACGAGGGAGAAAACGACCTACCTGACACTTAAAATTAACACATTGCTCCCAAGTTTGACCCCGCCCCTGTTATTACAGGTGTGAACACTGAATAATAGGGGTTCCAACATGGCTCCCTCATCACAACTCACGTGCTCAGGTAGTCTAAATATGAAAAAACCCAATTTTATCTTTCTTCCATAAACGTTCAATCATTCAAGTTCTGCATTTAAGAGTTCATCAAGCAAATTTAATGTTATTCATAAGGAAAACGGTAATTAAAATGAGGCCCATAGTCACTGTACATTTGTATCGCTCACGTTGACTGTTAAACAATTAACGTAAAAAATAATTCATAGTAATAAATTTCATTACAAACATTTCCTCACTTTTGTCTCTTCCTTTATATAATAGTTGGTTTTCCCGTCTCAAAAGATGTTTCATAAAAATGTTGAAAATACAATTAACAGTTGCAAGGGATTACGCCGTAAAATATTTCAAAAGACCAACAATATCCCCCATGTGGACATTCTTTCTAAATCATCAGGGAAGAGACATATTTCATTTTTTACAATAAATTCCTCTAATTAGGTCCCAATTGCCAAGTATTCTTTCGAAAGAGAATTTGGGTGAGATCATATGGGTGTAAATATGACTTTTGAAATAAGTCCCCAGGGGTGGGGCCAGACCCCAGTGCCAATCCTGATAGAATGGATGCATTCGTCTCTTCGAGCATATCAATCGAATAACTGGTTATAAGGTGGAAATCTCTACTGTTTCTAAGTAATCACTTGTACCGGGAATAGAACAAATGCAAATACTAACAGCATGAATATATATAAAACGGAATGAAACAAGGCCTAAACGGAACGGAACGAAAATAA